AAGATACTATTCAAACACTAACTAGCTAGGTTTGTGGTTTCTACTTTAAAAATATATATAACTGATATAAAGTGAAACGAATATAGATGTAATAGATTTATTTGGGCGCTTGAACACGAAACATTTTATCTGTGGAAGACTTTTTAAAGGTGAGTCATGGCACTTCCGGTGCTACACTGGTTCAAGCTGATGAACTTGCCTAAAGTTTTTGGACTTTCATTCATGCCAGTCATGCTGTAGCGTTCAACGTGAAACAGCGCCACCGTGCGGTACAAACCGACACAGTGATGCTACCTTCAGGGACTTGGAATCCAAAAACTCAAAACTTACCAACTTTACGAGGAAGATTTTAATGAATTCAAATTGAATTTGTTAAATATAAGTTGCATTTTTTTTCCTTGTGTCTGTTTTTATTAGTTATACACCAGTTAGCACCTGATAATTTTACATGGATTGAAAGTACCTGATAATATTTCCCCCAAACCTGCAAATAGCACACATTAATAAAGAAAGAATAAATAAATTTATATAAATATTAATTTATTTTTACATTTAAAAAATCAATACATTAAAAAAATAGATTTGTGCAACTTAATTTGTTTCATTATTTTCAGTGATTTCATAACCCATCTGGGTTTTATAAATTTATAAATTCCTTTGGTTGGATGGGTTCACAGCACTGCTGCTCAGACTTCACTTTAAGCAGATTTTGCAGATTTAGCTGTAAGTGGCAAAAATCTAATAATAACCACTGAACCATGAACATCCAGGGATCAAAACTTTTCTTTTTAGAAATACATTAATATTTTGGAAATAAAATTTAAGCAGTTTTTCCCCTTTTTCACCTTAGTTCTGCATTTTTCCTCCAGACACTGTGACCAAAAGAAGAAAACTTGATGACATCATGAATCATTTTTACAGCTCACTGATTTATTTATTTAATCCGTACTCTCTAAAACCTTTGGAAAGTTTAAATAAAGTTGACCAAGTTTAACCTCCTCTTCCTCGGCATGCATTTTTAATTTCTCCTTGATATTTGGGCTGATTGGGCTGATATGTGAACGCCAGGTCGTAGGAGGTTTCAATAAAGTTTGCACAAAGGTTTGTTGGGTTGTTGTTTTCGGTTTATTTGAAGATGTGTCATATCAAAGTCAGGACTTACTTGCCTGCTAATGTGTCTGCATGGGCGCACTTCAGGCTGCAGGTCAACATATCCTGTTTAATGTATGCCACGAAGAAGCGTGTGCATCTATGAGAAGAGTCAGTAAACAGTCAGCCAACAGAGGGCAGCACAGATCTGGAAGAAATTCAGCCTGTATTTAAAGTTCTCTATTAAATCTGTGTATGTGTGCAGCTGATTTACCTCGTGGTAGACTTTAGGGAGCTTACTGAAATAAAGTAAAATACCTGGACCTCACAGTAACTGTTTGTCAACAGTCAAAAATCTACATTTATGTTCCCAAGCAGTAAATGGTTCATGTTATCATGGCTACCTCCAGATTTGAAGATGAAACATCGAGACAGTCTTAAAAGATGGTGTCCTGAGGTCAGGCTGGGGTCACACTAACAAACTGTTGGTGTTGTTTGCAGAGTGACAGATACCACGGTGCATTATTGAAGGGTTTAAGGTACTAGAGCTGATGTGATTCTAAGTCTTTCCATGTTCTTTTTGTGTTTTTAATGTCCTGTCACATCTGACGTTTTATGTATCAGTAAATGGTCATTTAAAAAAAATATCTGGTCCTTAGCAAGTGTTAAAATTGGATAAATGCAACCTCAGATGAACACATGACATATCACACCAGGCCAAAGGCAGAAGCTCTGAAAACCTGTCCATTCTGACTGCTTCAACAGGAATTAAGAGGGTAAATAGAAGTGAGGTGCTTATAGTCCTAAAGCAGGGGTGGGCAACTCCAGGCCCCGAGGGCCGGTGTCCTGCAGGTTTTAGATAAACACAGCTGATTCAAATGGCTAAATGACCTCCTCGACATGTCTTGAAGTTCTCCAGAGGCCTGGCAATGAACTAATCATTTGATTCAGGTGTGCTGACCCAGGGTGAGATCTAAAACCTGCAGGACACCGGCATTCGAGGCCTGGAGTTGCCCACACCTGTCCTAAAGCATTTGATTAAATGCTCATCAGGAAGCGTGACCAACTCTATAAAAGCATAACAGGACAGGCTGCAAGTCTGAAGCATTCAGATGTGTGTTAACTCAATGCTGAGGAGGATGTCCTAGAAAACTTCCTAAAGTCTTCAGCTGATCCAAAATGCTGCCGCAAGAGTACTGAGAGGATCTAGAAAGAGAGCACATCACCCCAACAGAGCACTTTGCTTTCAGACTGCAGGCTTACTCGTGGTTGCTTGGGTTTCTTCCTGTTAAAAGGGAGTTTTTCCTTCCCACTGTCACAAAAGTGCTTGCTCATATGGGGTTTTCTCTGTATTATTGCCAGGTCTTTATTTTACAATATAAAGGGAACTGAATTGAATGACATCAGCAGTGATCTGAAAGAAGGGTTCTGAGGCTAAGTTTATCTTTCTACAGTGGAAAACATTTAAGACAGCTGTTAATCTTCCCAGGAGTAGACATCCCAGCAAACTGACCCTGAAGTCAAATTGTGTAATGCTCCGAAAAACTGAAAAAAAAACCAAACCCAAAAAACCCCACAACACTACGTCTCAGACTCTACAGGCCTCAGTTAGCATGTTAAGTGTTAAGGTTCCTGACAGTACAGGTAAAGAAAAAAGACTGAAGAATGATGGCTTTTTAAAAACTTTTTCTAAGGTTTGTTTCGAAGGGTTTCCAGGAGAAAGCTTCTTCTCTCTAAAGGGCTGGTAGCATTTGAATAAACTACAAGATCTTTTTGGAACAATGTCCTTTGGACAGATGAAACCACAGTGAAGATGTGTGGCTATAATCCACAGCATAATGTTTGTCAAAAATAAATAAACAGCAAATTGGCCAAATGTGCAGCCATCTGTCTGCTCATGCAACAGGACAGTGATCACAAACACACCAACAAATCTGCAACAGAATGATTGAAGTCCAGACCTGACTGAAATTCTGTGGCAGGAAAAGAAGAGTGGATCAAAAATCTTCCAAAGTGACACATAAAACTAATAAAGTGTTAAGAAAACAATTCCTTCACATTTTACTATGAACAGTGGTGCTGCAAGCTTTGAATCATGGGGTGTACTTTATTTTTCACACACCGTTTCTGCATTTTTGCTTAAGTTTTGTTAAATAGAATAATGACGCGGTGTAATATGTTACGAGGTTTGTTCATCCGAGGTTGAATTTACACAATTTTAAGACCTGCTATGTACCAGGTGATTTGTAAAGGACAAGATGTTTCCTCTGTGTTTGAAATTAGGTCGTAAATCTTGTGACTTAATGGGAATGTGAATCGCAGATGATAACGATCAGTAACAATGCAACATAAAAAGCCTTTTCCAAGGAAGGCAACAACAGATTATCATGTTGTCCCACTGTGACGTTTCCCAGTTACTCATGATTAAACGCCCCCTCACCTGTCACCTGTTGCTGTCAGATACGGACTGTTTGTGCAGCCGTGCGGGTTAAAGTGCTCCTGCTGAGTCCTGTTTGTCTTTACCTGCTGCTGTGTGACGCAGGGCATCCAACGACAGTGGCCACGTTAACGTGTTTATGCTTCTAGTAAACTTTTACTGACGTGTTCATGAACCTCAGAGTTACATGCGTGCATTAAAGCCTCATATTGTTATTGTTGCTCTTACCACCATTGCTGTTGTTACTGCTGTTTATTATTGTTTCATACAGACATAGCCATTATTGTTGATACCCTCACAGTTACCCTGTGGGGTCTGAGAAATAAGCCCAACCCTATGGTATCAGAAAATGTGACTTCTGGCTTTCAAATATTGTTCTTCCAAATCTTGGCAATGACAGGACAAAAATTATATATATTTAAGCATCTGTTGTCTCCAAATATGGAGTTAAGGGTTGCTTCTCCTCATTCATTTTGCAATCGGGACTATGGGTAATTGTCCCTACAACTTTTCCAGTTAATTTATAAGCTTTTTTTTTAACTTATAATTAAGGCTGTAGCAACATGAACAAGACG